AAGGAAGTTGGTAAGTTTCAGCACTTTAGAGCTTGGGGGGACAAGTTAGGTTTCTATTTTATGGAGGAGGTGGAGGCAGGGTGGATTCTAAGGTGTCATTCAAGACACACAGCCATAACTCTTTAGTGAGAGTAGAGCTAGGGCCCCAGGGATTGCTGTGGTCAAGTTGCAGACAAAAACTACCGCTCACTGGAAGACAGGAGAGGAATATTACAGGTGTATCTACATTGAATCAACAAATAAAAGTTGAACTTGGTTGCTAATAGGACCCACTCTGCTAACTGCCAATTTGTATAGAACTCCTAGAGGAAGATGGCTTCCAGTAATGAACCACCCTGTTTTTAGGAGTTAAAAGCTCAGGAAGCTGGTGTTGATGAATGAAAACCTTAGTTCTACTGGCACTGAAGGAGGGGCCAGGAGAGCAGTGGCATCATAAGCAACAGGGTGGAGCAGCGGGGGCCGCGGGGGAGGGGCAGCAGCAAGGCTGGGGCATTGTGAGGTGGGAGACAGGGCATTGTGAGTCACGTGCCTGGGCTTCCACCTGGGCCAGTGGGCTTCAGTCTGTAGGTGACTGCAGGAGGAGCAGCTCCTTTTGTACTCTCTTCAGGCAGTTGTTGTGTCTCTCAGCGCTTGTTGGGTTCCCAACCTATTAAATTAGCCACCTATTTTTGACCCTCCCAGACAAGTCAACTCAGGAGAGGCGGCAGGGTGTGGGCCTTGGCCCGAGCCCCGGCTGGGGCCGGGCTGTGGGGTGGGCAGGAGAGCCGAGGGCAAGACCATCTCTGAAAGTGCGGCCTAGCCTCGGCCTAGGGCAGCAGGAGTGCCTGGCCAACACTGAGAGCGGAGGCACAGGTAGCGGCAGACAGGAGTAGAGGCGCCTCATGGGGAACATACTGAGCTGCTGTGTGTGCCCCAAGGTGTGCGAAGAGTCGGACCAGGATGAGGGGACAGAGCATTCTCCTGAGTCTGAAATCTGTGAGACAGCAGCTGAGGACACCACAGCACCTGAGGACACGGCAGCAGATGAGGACAGGGCAGCAGATGAGGACACGACAGCAGCTGAGGATACAACAGCAGCCGCACCCACGGCTGCTGCCACAGAACCTGCCGAGTTGACTGTTGAAGCTGGTGAGGTCTGTCCTGTGCACGACATCTGTGATGGGGAGATGCCTGAAGGTAAGGAGGTGAAGGGGCCATCTGCCCTAGCCACCCCTTTGGCTGCTGGTATCTTCAAGTTACCCTGGGGGGCATCCCCTCCCGGGCTCCTTTTTTCCTGTAGCCAGCTTTTCCAGGGCTGGTCAGAAACAAAGGCTGGCTCTGCCTTGCATTCCTTTTCCCACCGCTTAGTCTTTCCCCACGGAGTCCAGTTAATTTCTTTTCTCCTCCCCTCCCAAACACTCCGTTCTTGCTCCCTCATCTCATTCTCTCAGGCTAGCCTGGGACCATCTTCTTGTCTGTAGCTCTGTTTATTATTCTGTGGGATTTTGTTGAGGCATTTTTGGAATATTCTCTTCCTTTTTCAATAAAAACTCAAATACCCCCACTTTCCAGTACCCGTCTCATTCTTTTTTTGTACCTATCCAGATGGTACCTAAGTGAAGGAACCAGGTAAGTGCCTCCTAATTATTTCCTTCGTTAAAGTAGCTAAATCTCAGGACAATTCATACTGAAATATTTGGGGATTTCTTCTTTGAAATCAGAATGAAGTTTGCCGTGGGAGAGATGATAGGATATTCTTAATGGGTTGTTTTAAGTCACCTTGATAGGTGCTTATTTTTTTTCTAACTGTAATTTGAACACAAAAGGAAAGAAAACGAGGGGGTGCTTAAAGTAATTGTGAAAGGTGTGAAATGTCATGGCCAGGGCTGCAGGAAAATGGGTGTTTGTTTTCCCCCAAAGGAGTTTACCTATGAGACTCTGATGACTTTAAAATTCTTACTTTAACACAAAATATGTCTCTAGATTTATTCTGCTGACTTAACAGACTTTATTTACCTCCTTGTTCTAAAAGAGAGGTAGGCATCGTTCATGGTCAAAGCTTTCAAAAGACATGAAATGTCAATTCGACTTTTAACATGTAACATAAAGACTGAAGGTTAAAACTGTGCAGAGTGTTTGCTGCCATGGCTCTCCCTTTGTCCTTCCCCCACCTGACAATAGCATCTTGTTCAAAGATAAGAAAGTAAAGCATAAGAAGCTGGAAGCCATCATTCTCAGCAAACTAACACAAGAACAAAAACCAAACCCCACATATTCTCTCTCATAAGTAGTAGTTGAATAACGAGAACACATGGACACAGGGAGGGGAACATCACACACTGGGGGATTCGGTATGGGGTGGGGTATGAGGGGATGGAGAACATTAGGATGAATACCTAATGCATGTGGGGTTTAAAACCTTGATGATGTGTTTATAGGTGCAGCAAACCACCAGGGCACATGTATACGTATGTAACAAAGCTGCACATTCTGCACATATATCTCAGAACTTAAAGTAAACAAAACAAAACAAGACAAAACAAAAAAATAAAACCAACATTGGTTGGGCTCTTAGTTTTTTCCAGAGGTAGAATAATTAAGACTCATGATGAATGTGACTTTGTAACTTGGAGTACAATACTCACTTTTCAAGACGTTTAAGAATTTTGAATAAACAAATATGTGAATTGATTATACCTTTATACACAAAATGTGTAAGTACTTCTGTAAACTTATACTCTGGTTGCTGGTGTAAGGAAAGCCTGTGAGTGATTTTACACAGCAGTTCATAGATGGGTGGTGTTGGATTAGAGAACAAAAAAGGCTCTTTATTGCTATTCTTTAGGATTACAATACAGTTTATGTATGTCTCTTTTGGCCCCTTCCAATACAAAGAAGGCTTGTGTATGTTCTCTGTATGTATTCCTAATGAAGAAATGAAGACAGAGATCTCACATGACTATTGAGGACAGCTGCTCAATAGAACTAATATTCTGTGTCTTCAGAATGACATGGAAGTGACAAATATGCTGAATTTACTTTTTAAAAAATTTTTAAACTCCAGAATACATCTTATATTTTGTCTATAAAATAGGCCTCTCTTTTAAAATGTATTGCCATCTTGATTTATTTTATACAAAGTTGATTTTACACATCTCAAAGGGAACATTTAACTCCTTTTTTTTTTTTTTTTAAATAAAAAAGAGTCTCACTATGTTACTCATGCTGGCCTAAATTCCTGTCTTGGGTTCGAGGGATTTTCTTATCTCACCCTCCTGAGTAGCTGGGAGTCCAGGCATGCGCCACCTTGTCTGGCCTCATCTTATGTCTATACGTTCATGTCAATGGATAAGGATAAAAGTGGAGGTATTAAAATGTCCTCCTTATAGAATAAATGAGTTGATAAATTGTTATAATGATCACATCTTTTTTCTTTTCTCTCTGTATAGATAGGGCTTTGGAATCCGACCCTTCTGATCATCCAGAAGCAAAGAAATCTCATGCAGGTGGTGAGACAACATTGTTTTTTTCCACCAAGAAAAAGAATGAAAACTCTTGTTTGATGAGACGTATAACAGAAAGTGTTTAGCAAAACTCATATTGGTTTAAATTTTTAAAATTTTCACCTATTCACTTGTGTTATTTTAACATGTGGTATACTTTCCTTTAGTTCTTATGTTAGTGAAAACATGTCAGCTTTTTGTTTATACAGTTTCCCATCTTTTTATCAACACATTTTGTCATGTAAGGGAGGAGTCTTAGATTTATCTTTATGTTTAATTTTTTGTCTCTTTTCCCAATGGATAAGAATAAAAGTAGAGGTAGTAAAATGGCTTCCTTTTTGAATAAATGAGTTGATAAATTGTTATAAGTGATTACATATTTTTTCTTTTCTCTCTGTATAGATATGGCATTAGAATCTAACCCTTCTGAAGCAATGAAATCCCAAACAGATAGTGAGACAACATTGTTTTTTCTGCCAAGAAAAAGAGCGAAAAATCTTGTTTGATCAGATGTATTATAAAAAGTATTTAGGAAAACTCATATTATCCGACACAGTGGGAGGTCTCTTTCCCCTCCTGGATTTCCCCTGTGGGGTCCCGCTTCCACACACTCTCTCTTGGGGAAGCTTTCTCTCTTCTCTGTTTCTCTCTGCCTCTCTCTAAATAAATCACTTTTCTGCAAATAAGCAAACAAACAAAAAGAAAAACTCATATTGGTTTAATACCAGAATGAGAATTTACTTCTTACCATGGGAATGGCACCAAGCCATTCATAAGGAATGCTCCACTGTTACCCAAACAATTCTCACTAGGCCCTGTCCTCAGCATTAAGGGTCCCATTTTAACATGAGATTTGGACAGGGAGACATATCCAAACCATATCAGAGGTGTATTTCCCAGTTCCTTCCAGAGACATGGGCTTCTCACACCTGGAGAGCATGAAAGCAGAAAAAAGAAAAGCTATTCCATGTCCCTCACACTTCAGTGTTAGGAATGTTTGCCTACAAGGCCCTTCCAGCATTAAAGGTGGAGGCAGTGTAGGAAACAAAGCATGGCCCAAGTCCCTCTTGGAGCTTTTATTATTCTGGCTTTTTTTTTTTTTTTTGCAGACACCATGTCCAAATTAGGTTTGTCTACTTATTTTAAGATTTAAATTTGGCCAGGCGCAGTGGCTCATGCCAGTAATCCCAGCACTTTGGGAGGTGGAGGTGGGTGGATCATGAGGTCAGGAGTTCGAGACCAGCCTGACCAAAATGCTGAAACCCCATCTCTAATAAAACAAAAACTAGCCGGGCATGGTGGGGTGCATGTCTAATCCCAGTTACTCAGAGGCTGAGGCAGGAGAATTGTTTGAACCCTGAAGGCTGAAGTTCTAGTAAGTCAGCGTCACACCATTGCACTCCAGCCTTGAAACAAAAGATTAAATTTAAGATAGGTTACTTTTCAGTTGTGTAAAGACCCTGTTTTTGTTTGTTTTGTTTCTAGCGACATATTAGTAGATGACCACTGATTGTGGTTGGAGAGGCTTACAGGGATTCTGGTGCATCTAGAGATAGGTGCCTGGCCAGGAAGTAGTTCTTAAGAGTTGTTAGCTCTTAGATTCTGGTAATTAAGCTATTTGTAAATACAGAATGGGAGAATACTAATGGATCATGGCTCATACATGCAACAATTAAATTTTTTAATTAGCTAAATTTTTCATCTGGCCTAATTTTTGTGCCCTTTTTTACATGAGTATGATTTCACGCATGTAATAAAAACAGAAAGTAAACTAGATTAAAAAAAAATCTCAGTTTTTACATTTTACTTTATGAGATTTATTATGCCAGAGAGTTTAAATTACAAATTGTCGATATTAATTCTTTTAAATGGAATTTTCTCTGATTGTACATAGGAGTAGTCAGTAAGATGTTAACAACTACTTTTATTTTATATTATTTGTGCGAGAAGTGACCGTTTTTTTTTTTTTTTCTTTCATTCTTAGCACAAGAAATAGGAGAAAACACTGGTACAAACCAGGTAAGTAAACAGTCAAAAAGTTGAGAAATTGGTAGTTTGATGTAAAAGTATGTCCCTCTTGATTCCTTTAAATTACAATGGGGACCCAGTGGTGACAGGTTGGACCTCGTTTCATGGATTTTCTGAATCTCTTCTACTTTCCTATCAAATTTATCCCGAAAATTCTTCAGCTTAGTGTGCCCACCTTTTAAGGATTGCTGACACTCAAGTTAAATTTCAATAGTTGGTTGTGGTATAAAGATCTGCTTTAAGTATTTAATCTTATTTTTAATGAAATAACAAAAACAGAAGAGCTAAGTTAGTTGTCAGTATGGTCTATTGACCCTCTGTCACAGCAGGTGAAAGCATATCTTCCTTGCTAACCATGACCTTATTTTTCTCCCTCTGTTTCTTTGAATTGTAGCACACTTTTTAATTCAATCAGTAATATTGACATGATAATGACTATCCAAATATTATTCACTGCTGAGCTATATGTTGTTTTCACTGTGCCTCTTCATTATATATTACTTCATCCTTTCTCTGAAACAGTTCTGAAATCTGAGCACTTCCGCACTTCTTCTGGATCATCTTTTTTTTCCTAGCCTAGGCTGGTTTATCCAGCCAAATGCAGTAAGTAGCCTCTGGATGGTCTGCCACTTTATTGAAAAATAATAATTATTGTTAAGTTATATTTTACATATAATTTACATTTCACATCCATTACTTTTTGGCATGAAGCTAATTTTCTGACTATATTCATTTGCCTGTTTTCTAACAGCTGATCCCTTCCCCCCCAAGTGTTGTGGTATTTATCACATGCACTTCAAAGATATTTTCCATCTGCTGAAACATATCTGTTCCTCTTTGTTTTTGGTGGGTGGTGGGCAGCCTTTTTTTGGCCTTTTGTCATCCTAGTTTAGTATAGAGAGGCTTTCCCTAGATATGCTTGATGTCTTAGTCTATCTGTGCTATCTCTTTAAAGTGTTTTGGGATCTCACACAACTGCCACCTTGTGTGGGATCACCTGAGTCCTAGATTCTGTGTTTCCTTCTGTCCTGTTATCCTCTCTAGTTGTACTTAAGCACACTTTCCTCGGCAGAGATGTTTAGAGACCTGAGGAGTCTTAAAATTCTTCTTCCTTGATAGAGAGTAAACTTCTAGTTTGAATCTAAATTTTATGGTTCTGAAGATATTCTGCAATTGTGTTCTCGTCACAGTGTTGTTCTTGAATCTATTGCCATTGTGTGACACGTTATTTATAACCGTGTTTTATGTATTTTTGGAAGCTTTTTCAGAGTTTTCTGTCTCTGAGATTCTGAAATTTCATAATCACAGCTTGATTATGGGGGGATCTTTTCATTTTACTGAGGCTACTAAGTCTGCAGACTCTCTCTTTTTGAGAATGTTTTTTATTTTCTATGTTCCTTTTTTCTGATAGTCATGTTAATCAGTCGCTAGGCTGCTTAGACCAGTAGACCTGCTTTGGTTTCCAATTTTTTCCCTTCAATTTTTTTCAGTTTGTCTTTTTATTCTACGTCTGGGATATGCTATGAGTTTATACTCTACTATATCTATTGAATTTTATGTATTTTTTAGAGTGTTTTAACATTTTTAAAAATGTTTTGCTCCTGATTTTGACTGGTCCCATAAATTTTGTCTGTGCTCTTTCAATCTTTCTTGTTGGAGGCTTTTCTCCAATGTGTGGTGGTCCCTGGCTTGCTTGGTTGATTTGGAAGCAGGACTTTTGTTAACTGATGGCACTCTGTGAGGCTGTGGAAGCAACTGGCTTTTCATTTGGGAGACCTCAGTGTATTATCTGGGGATCTTTATTCGAGACAGTTTAGTTTCTTGAGGATGTTCTCCCAAGTTGCTGTGTGGCTACTTGCTTTCCAAAAGCAGACTTAGGGAAGAAATTTGGAGTTCCATTTTTGGTGTATAATTTTCTTTATATCTCAGATTTAATCTATGGTAGTTAGGAGCCAGAAATTCTCAGGTTTGGTATATCCAGGGAACACACATTTAAGTTTATTGTCAGATGGGAGAACAGGTGGACATGAGTCTCTAACCACAGATTTTCAACTGACCTTGGTGGCTTTGTTTTACATTTTGCACACTTTTCAAAGTGCTATTTGCCTCTAAGTTCACAGCCCACCTTTAGTTATACAAGAGAAACTGCTCGCTTCTGTTGCAGTCACTTTCTCTTTTTTTTCTTGAGACAGAGTCTTGGTTTGTCACCTGGGCTGGAGTGCAATGGTGAGATCTCAGCTCACTGCAACATCTGCCTCCTGGGTTCAAATTCTCTGCCTCAGCCTCCTGAGTAGCTGGGATTGCAGGCATCTGCCATCACAGCCAGCGGATTTTTGTATTTTTAGTAGAGATGGGGTTTCACCATCTTGGCCAGGCTGGTCTTGAACTCCTTGGCCTCCCAAAGTGGTAGGATTATAGGCATGAACCTCCTCACCCAGCCTCCAGTCACTTTCTTTAGGCATCATAGTTGTGCTTCTGTGTTATGTACCACTCCTTTATCTACTTTTTTTGTCTCAGCATTTATTAAAAATTATCTCTTTTCAACCTTCTCTCCTGGTGCTGTGTGTCATCTTTATTTTGTGACTAATGAGATGTCTAGGGGGAGAGGAAATAGATTTGTGATCAATCTGTTATATTTAATCCAAATTTAGGACCTATATTAAAGTGTAAATCAAAGTTTAATTTCAATATCATTAATGATCTTAACCCAGACAATTTTTTAGTGATGTATCTGTAATAAGCATGTTACAGTTGTCTTCTAAGGCCTTGTTTGATATTTTCATTCAAGCTTTATACACTGTCATATTATCCCATTACTTCACAACATAGATGGACCTGTTTTCATGAATGCTCACAGTGTTAGAAATATTTAAGTTAATTAATATATGTTTACTTTTAGCCTGGTCAACATAGCAAGACCTCATCTCTACAATATGGTGAAATAACAAATTAGCCAGGCATGGTGGCATATGCCTTTAGTTTTACCTACTCAGGCAGCTGAGGCAGAGGATTCCTCGAGCTCAGGAGTTTGAGACTGCAGTTAACCATCATTGCATCACTGCCCTCCAGCCTGGGTGACAAAGTCAGAGCTTGTCTCAGAAAAAGAAAAAAAGTTATTAATAGTTTAAAAACATGCATAAAATTTGTCCTCCCACAAAGGAGAGAGAAAAACATAAATTTTAGTTTTTATTTTGTTTATGTTTGCTGAGAAGATTGCTATAGTTTATTTATCTATTTTTTATTTCTGTAGGTTTTGGTGGGAACAGGTGGTATTTGGTTACATGAGTAAGTTCTTTAGTGATGATTTGTGAGATTTTGGTGCACCCATCATCTGATCAGTATCCACTAAACCTGATTTGTAGTCTTATCCCTCACCCTTTTCCCACACTTTCCCCTGAGTCTCCAGGGTTCATTGTATCATTCTTATGCCTTTGCATCCTCGTAGCTTAGCTCCCACATATGAATGAGAATATACAATGTTTAGTTTTCTATGCCTGAGTTACTTCACTTAGAATAATAGTCTCCAATTCTATTGAGGTTCCTGGGAATGCCATTAATTTCTTCCTTATTGTAACTGAGTGGTATTCCTTTATATATATATGTGTGTGTGTGTGTGTGTGTGTGTGTGTGTGTGTGTGTGTCTGTGTGTGTGTGTGTGTAAAATGTATATAAAATGTATATAAAATATAAACACGTATATCACAATTTTTTATCCCCTCATTGACTGATGGACATTTGGGCTGGTTCCATATTTTTGTAATTGAAATTTCTTTGAGTTCCTTGTAGATTCTGGGTAATAGCCCTTTGTCAGATATATAGAGTGTGAAGAGTTTCTCCCACTCTGTGGGTTGTCTGTTTACTCTGACGATTGTTCCTTTCCCTGTGCAGAAGCTCTTCAGTTAAGTCTTACCTGTTTGTTTTTGTTGTATTTGCTTTTGGGTTCTTGGTCATGAAATCTTTGCCTAAGCCAAGTCTAGAAGGGTTTTTCCAAGGTTGTCTTCTATAATTTTTATGGTTTCAGGCATAGATTTATATGCTTGATCCATCTTGAGTTGATTTTTGTGTATGGTGATAGTTGAGGATCCAGTTTCATTCTCCTGCATGTGGCTTGCCAATTATCCCAGCATCATTTGTTGAATAGGATTTGCTTTCTTCACTTTATATTTTAGTTGGCTTTCTTAAAGATCATTAGGCTATAAATATTCGGGTTTATTTCTGAGTTCTTTCTTCTGTTCCATTGGTGTATGTGCCTGTGTTTATACCAGTTTCATGCTGTTTTAGTAACTATGGCTTTATAGTATAGTTTGAAATTAGGGAATGTGATTGATGCCTACAGATTTGTTGTTTTTGCTTAATTTTGATTTTGCTATGTGGAATCTTGTTTGGTCCCATATCAGTTTGAGTATTATTTTTTCTAGTTTTATGAAGAAGAATAATGGTATTTTGATGGGAATTTCATTGAATTTGTAAATTGCTTTTGTCAATATGGTCATTTTTACAATATTCATACTACCCATTCATGAGCTGGAGATGTCCTTCCTTTTGTTAGTGTCCATCATTTCATTCAGCAATGTTTTGTGGTTCCCAACAGCATATCAAAAAGATAATCCACCGTGATGAAATGGATTTCATACCAGGGATCCAGGGATGGTTGAACATACACAGGTCAATAAATGTGATACACCACATAAACGGAACTAGAAACAAAAATCACGTGACCATCTCAATAGAAACAGAAAAAGCATTTGACAAAATTCAGCATCCTTTTATGATGAAAACCCTCAGCAAAATTGTCATACAAAGGTCATACCTCAATGTAATAAAAGCCGTCTAACAAGAGAAAGAAATAAAGGGCATCCAGATCACTAAATAGGAAGTCAAACTGTCACTGTTTGCTGATGATACAATTTTATACTTAGAAAACCCCAAAGACTCCACCAGAAAGCGCCAAGAAACTGATAAATGAATTTAACAAAGTTTCAGGAGACAAAATTAGTGTATACAAATCAATAACTCTGTTGTACTGTAACCGCGAATGCTGAGAATCGAACCAAGAACTCAGTCCCTTTTATGATAGTTGCAAAAATAAAATAAAATACTTAATAATAGACCTAACCAAGGAAGTGAAAGACCTCTACATGGATCTTTGATGGTAAGCCTTTCTTTTTTTTAACCTACTAAATTACTAGGTATAATTATTTTCTAGTTTTTGTTACTAACCTACTATGTAACCCCTTCCATTTCTTGTTAAAGATCATAAAACTTCACACTCTTTATTCATGCTGACTGCAGTTAGATGATTTGTTTCTTTTTGTTGACTACCTTAAATAATACTTATAAACAGTAAACTGTTAGGATTCTTTTTGGTGTAATTAAATGTAGTGAGACTTATTTTCCAAATTATAACTGAATTAATTTATTAAATACTTGTCGAAGTTTTTGATTTACACAAAATTCTGTCCTCAGCAGCTGGAGGTAGAAAGAGTAAGAGCCCCTCCTTACTCTTATGGAGAGGCATACTTTCTCATGAGGGAAATACTCAGCAAGAATTAGTATCTTGTAACCAGTGGTGAATTTGATTAATTAGTGTACAGAAAAACAAAAACAAAACTTTTTTTTGTGTGGCTGCTGACAAAGAGATCCAAGAAGATAGATAGAATCAAGCTTGCTGAAACAAGGAGAGAGAAAAACAGTGTTCTGGGCAGAGAGCAAGGGTATAGCAGGAAAATGCCTAGGTGCAGGTCAGATGACTTATAGAATGAAATTAATCAACTTTTGAAATGAATGGCAATGTTCTCTGAGAGTTTCATTTGAGTCATGTCATGGTAGTCTTATTTAAACATGAAGTGAAAGTTAAAAATTTATCTGTTTTCAGGGTGTGAGAGAATATTTAAGTGATAATCTTTTTATCCTCCACATAAGAAAGCAGGACTAGAGAAACCTATGGCTTCCTCACTTGGTGGTGGCCTAGCAACCGTGGCACACAGAACCTCTGAATGTGACACACCTGTTTTGTCACAATATTGCCTGAAATAATACATGTAGGATTAGTAAGTTTGTGAATACATTAGTCTTGTATTCATTGCAATAAATTTCTCTTGTATCAGTATTATTTAATACATTATATTTTATTGTAATAAATTAATAGAAATTCTCAGCTGCTTTATATCATGGTATAAAAAACAGTGAAATTGTGTTTTAAACTTTCGTCATTATATGTAAAGAGAATTCATAAAATCCTTGTTAAGTTTGATGACAGGTAGCATATTAAGAGCAGCATTTTCTAACCCATGTCTCAATATCATCTCTGGAAGTTAAGAGCCTTCAATGGTTTTTCTGTACAGTGCACATGGTATCACACTCAGGAAGTTCATGGAGTGTAAGAAATATCTTAGTGCTTTGTCATTTGACATTTTAACTGAGAAAAAAAAGAGACACTGATAAGTGTACCTTATCCTTCCCTTCCTCTTTAGATATATACGAATCCTTTTTCTTCGAAATGCAGCTCATGCTCAACAATCTTGCTTGAAGACAGCACAACCGGCCGCCCTCATTTTAAAATGACACTAAAATCGTGAGTATGACTATACTGCCAAGGGACAGATTAAAATTATTTCAGCCATTTGTTTGTCCTCTTCAATCAGTTTAAGAAATTGGAGTCAACTATATATTGATACCAGATTCTAAATATTAAGTATCAATTTCTCTTTTCATCTACATCATAGTGGAAGGAAAAATCTCTTAGCAAATAAGGAATTTCAGAAAAAGTGTTGCTATTTATTTGATGCCTTTATGCCTTAAGAGAATGTTGAATGCAACGATAGGTTCCCTTTATTGAATGTTTTTTGTGAAAAATTAGTTTCTCAGTGAGTTTCAGACTTAAGTCAATGTGTACTACTTTGGACATTAGTCTTAGAAGAAGAAACAGCTTTTTCTCCTAAGGCACCACAGTGTGTCTGCATTTGAATTTCTCCCATTGTGCATGAGCACCTCAAGGGCCACAAAGATGCACTTTGAGAGCACTCTGAGATGAAGTTTATTTTTTAAAAGGAACAACCACCAACACCACCACCACATGGGTTGTCCAGTAATCATTATTATAATCTCTTTGGTTATGAGTGTTGATTTTTAGAGCACAGTTTACAAAGTGCTAATTTAGAATATTAATGTCCTTATATTTAAGTTTACTTTTCATTCTAGAAATATAACTAGCTAGCTTACAATTTTGTTTTGAATGTGCTAGCCTTTTTAGCTAATTCAATTGTCAGTAACTTTTTCTTTAATTAAAAACGGCAGGTTTACACTCATAATAATGTCACTTTCCTCCCTCCCTTATAACAATAATTGAGATGAAATTGTGTTTCAGCAAAAATTGGAATCAAATTATGTCTTAGGTGCTGAACTTTAGGACCTATTGAGTAATCACTAAATGTCTGTAGTCAGCCAAGTTTCTTCAATCTTTTTTCTTTTTCTTTTCTTTTTTTTTCTTTTTTTTTGAGACGGAATTTTTCTTTTGTCTTATTGCCCAGACTGGCGTGGAGTGGCACCATCTTGACTCACCACAACCTCCACCTCCCAGGTTCAATCAATTCTGCCTCAGCCTCCCATGTAGCTAAGATTACAGTCAGGCACCACTGCACCCAGCTGATTTTGTTTTTTTGTTTTTCGTTTTTGTTTTTCTTTCTTTTTGGAGACTTGAGGTTTCTCTGTGTTAGTCAGGCTGGTCTCGAACTCCCAACCTCAGGTGATCTGCCCACCTCTGCCTCCAAAAGTGCTGGGATTACAGGCATGAGCCACCACAGCTGGCTGTCTCTTAAATCTTTGAGCATAAAAACAAACAAACAAACAAACAAACTACTTTGGCTAAAGTCCCTGGCTGCTTTTGAATTCAAGCGATTTTTATGTGTTAACATAGAATTCCAAAGTAGCTTTGAAGATCGCCTTGTTCAAACAAATTTCATGCTTTTTTCCTCATTCTTCTAATTTTTAGAAGTTTACTTTCAAAAGTAAAGTAAGTTTTAATTTGCCATCAGCAAGTTTGGGAAATGATCATTTGGTGTATTCACTCTTGGTGAAATAGACGTTTATTGAGCAAATTAATAGGGCAAATTGGCTTCAGGAAAAGATTTTGAAAAATGTTCATCACAAGTTAGTAGTGCACTGTTATCAGTGGGATAGGTGGAACTCATTGGGATTGCTTTTGCAAAGTTTGTCTTCAAAATACATGTCTGCAAATACATGTGTCCTCCAATCTCCACTTTCCCTCTATCTCCAGGCACTGAGAAGTCTTTTAGGAAAACATAGCATCTTTATGTGAAGGAAAACATCCCAGAAGTTTCTGATTTTCACCCCAACTCAATCATTTCAAATTTTGCTGAACATTGAAATCACCTGGGAAACTTTTACCAACAACCCTGATGGCCAAAGTTATATCCAATGCTAATTATTGAAAATGAGGCAGTTATTAAAGCTTCTCAGGTGATTTTAATGTGCAGCAAAATTTAGAACCACTGCCTAATTTGAGTTTAGGGCAAGAAACTGCTCCTGTTTGTTGGGACCTTGGGCAAGTCAGTTTAAAGATTTGTTTCCCTGACCTGTAAAATGAGTGTTGGATTAAATGTCTTGTAAGATCATTGGTCCTTTCCAGCATATAACTTCAAATTCTGTGATTTTAAAATTATTTCAGAGATGAAAACTACTTGAAGCACTATAGGCATATCCATCTGAAGTGCTAATGTTACAGGCTTTTTAAAAAGTGCTATTACTAAAATTGAGATTTGCCTTCCCTCAGTTATTTTGAACCTCATTGTAGATGCTGAGGGCAAATGGAAGCACATAACTTACGTAAGAGAACCTCTTGTTTGCTGATACACAGCATCAGTGGGTAACTTAGGAATACAGTTACATATATCTGAAGAGTTCTATCTGTTCATAAATATTTCAGTTAAACTAACTGAAGATACCTGCCATTGATATTACACTGTTTCATGCTATACTACCTTGTTAGCACTGCTTATTTTAGGATTGCTGTACCTGTCATTGATGTCATGTGAGCTTATGTTTACTAATACATTTTCTAATAATTATGTAAAAGCAATTTTAAATAATTTTATTTGTTATAAAGCACTTTCATTATGTTATGCATTTTTTGGGAAATAATTTTAAAAATGGGTGGGTAGGAGACAGTGAACTAAACTAAAATGCAGGGCCTAACATCTTAAAAAAGAAACCACTACTGTGTGGCTGAAATTTAAACATATGTACACATAGATATAAATTGCATGAGTCATGGTTTGGCGGCTCAAGCTGTAATCCCAGCACTTTGGGAGGCTGAGGCAGGCAGATCACTTGAGGCCAGGAGTTTAAGATCAACCTGACCGTCATGGCAAAACCCCATCCCTACTAAAAATACAAAACTTAGCCGGGCATAGTGGCACCAACCTGTAGTCTCAGCTACTTGGGAGGCTGAAGCATGAGAATTGCTTGAACTCAGCAGGTGGATGTTGTGGTGAGCCAAGGTTGCGCTGGGCTACAGAGCAAGACTCTGGGTCACACAGTAAATAAATACATAAAATAAATTTCATATGGTGAAAGGTTTTGTGGGTAGAAGAACATATAACAGGGAAATATGTTATTTATATATTATAATCATCTACAGAAATATGTTTTCTAATAGTGTATTGTATGTCCTTGCATTTTTGTTCTCATATTTTTGCTAAAACCCAATAAATGAAAACAAGAAAGTGCCTTTATGGTACTGTTCTGAACTAGAAGGTTTTAATTTCAGGGCCGCTAGGAGAGTTTCCACCACACCCTTTTAAAAAAAAGTCTTCAGACCTAACAAATGATAACATCTATTGTTATGAATGTTTTTCCTTCCACAGTGTGGCGTTAGAGATATATTATCTTATCAAGAAAAGGTGAGCTTTTTAAAAAACTGTCTTGTTATTCTGGCTAATTACTTTGCAAGCTATCAAGCTCTTTAGGTCACAGCTCTAGACATCATGAGCTGTATTGGGCCTACTAAAATATCCAAGCAAATTATTTGTGTTTTCTTTGGTCCTTAACACTTTTAATTCTTAAATGATTGGGAATCTCAAAGAGTATGTATTTATATTGATGATATTGATATTTATCGTCATAGAACTATAAAATTGAGATTTTTTTCAAAATCTATTTTTAGTTTAGATTTCACAGCCTTACCACTGTTGATATCTTGATATGTTGATAATACTTTGTCACAAGGACTGTCCTGTGCATTGCAGAAAGTTTAGCAGCACTGGTGGCCTGTACCAAGTAGATGTCAGTAGTAACCCATGATCCAGGTTGTGGCAACAGAAAATACTCCTTAAGAACAATATTGTTAACATAAAATTTTTAATGAGAAAATAGATTTTCTACAACAAAAAGTTGAGTAAAAAGTGCGTCATATATTTATATTATTGAAAACCTCGAATGTCGCACTTAATAGAAGACAGCTGGATTCTCTAGGTCTTTTTCTGCAATTTGCTTTAAGAAGCAATAAGATGTCCAGGTGTGGTGGGAGACACCTGTAATCCTAGCACTTTGGAGAGGCCAAGGTGGGCAGATTCATTTGAGGTCAGAAGGTTGAGACCAGCCTGACCACCATGGTGAAACCCATCACTACAAAAATACAAAAAATAGCTGGGCATGATAGTGCATGCCTGCAGTCAAAAAAGGGAAGCAATGACATGACCTAATCTCATGCAAATATGTAGTTGGTAAAAGGTACATTTTTAAAGCTTTGAGACAGCTGTGTGCATTTAATAATAAGTGAAAGCAAGTGCTACTTTTTAAAATTAGTTGCAGTGGTATTATACATATTAATAAATTTATTTGGTCAGTACTCACTAATCTGTCTTGCATGGTAAATGGATCTTTCCCCCCATACTTGCATTTATACTATCATACATTAGTTATTTGGAATATATTGGTTTATGTTTTATTGTGTCAAAAATCACTTTTAACCACCAATATTATTTTAAGTCGTTAAGTATTGAAAAGCTGTCAAGCCTACAGTAGAAGGAGTGAGATTTTCAGAGTCCTCAGGAAAGCTTAATTTATCATGGGGAACACGTGCTTATTTTCCTTGAAGTGACAACCTCAGTTCATTTATTTTTGAGAATGATAATTGTCCTTTTTTTTTTTAGACTAAGTCTCACTCTGTCACTTGGCTGTAGTACATTGGCATGATCCCACCTCAAGCAATTCACCTCAGACTCCTGTGTAGCTGGGACCACAGAGGTGTGACACCACGTCTGGCTAATTTTTGTGTATTTTTGGTAGAGACAGAGTTTCACCATGCTTCCCAAGCTACTCTCGAACTTCTGAAGGAGCTCAAGCGATCTGCCTGGTTTGGTCTCCCAAAGGGTTTGGATTTTAGAGGCATGAACCATTGCGCCAGCACAGTAGTACTTTTAAATAAAAATGATGTCTGTGTAAAAAGTGATTGTTCTGCTCACAATTAAATCATGAATTTTTTTAAACACAACTGTACTGCAGTCAGCAGAAGTGCTTCTTATTAGCCTTCTACTGATTCAGAATACTAAAGAGACATGTCAAGATTTAGTAACACCATTAATTTTTACCGCCTCAACAAAGATATTTTTAAGTACTTTAGACTGCTTTTTAACTGTAAGGGACAATAAAGAACAGAATTACTGCCGGTGTAATTGGTACCACTGTCTTGATTTAGGCTGAGAAACCAGCAGCTTTATCCACTTTTGCTTTTATACAGTTATGGCAAGTGTCTATGAAAAAGTAGTCAGTGTCTTTGTATTACTTTCTTAATTCAAAAAAAAAATTTGTATCAACTTTCTGAGGTTGAATTAGTATGATTATCAGAACAGTGTCCAGCAGACACAGTGGCTCAGGCCTGTAATCCCAGCACTTTGAGAGGCCAAGCAGATGGATCACCTGAGGTCAGGAGTTCACGACCTGCCTTGCCAGCATGGTGAAACCCCATTTCTACTAAAAGTACAAAAGGTAGCATGGTAGTAGGCGCCCATAATCCCAGCTACTCAGGAGGCTGAGGCAGGAGAATCACCTGAACCTGGGAGATGAAGGTTGCAGTGAGCCAAGATCCCACCATTGCACTCCAGCCTGGGCAACAAGAGTGAAACTCCATCTCAGAAAAACAAAAACAAACAAACAAAACAAAGAAAAACAAAACAAAACCGTGTTGACCTCTTAGGCCTTCTCAGAAAGGGTCTTCGGGATCCCCAGAGGTCCACAGAGCACATTGGGAGAACCACTGGTTTATCACACAGGCACAATGCATTAGTTTTACAAAATTTAAAGTTAATCAAAGACTAGCCTCTTTTAAAATAAAAGGGCAGATGAGTTTTTAATTCAAACAACAGAAAATAAATTCATCATAAAAGTATACTACAGGGGACTAAAAAGAAAGGAAGCTAGGAAATCGGAATCACATTTACATTTATTGAAGTCCTAAAGACTTTATTGCCCACCACTAATGCTTTGTAAAAGATTCTTATGTTTCAATGTGTGGTTAAGAAGAGAGAAAATATGTTTGGTTTATTGCCATTGCCTGTTAGGGAGGGTCAATACCTATAGGCAGTTCTGACTGGTTATTGTGAAAAAGACTTCACAGTACAGGATATGATGTGCGGAGGAAGAAGAGGTCGGGAAACATTCTGCAGGGCAGGATCCAGGAGAAGAATTTGTAAAAATGTTTGCTTTGGTGAAGTAAACACCAAAGCACATAGGAGGCATTATTATACTAAAAAGGTATTATACTACGATATTCACAGTTTTTGAAGTAACGCACATTCTTATTTTATAGAGATGAAAATAGAACTTTGGAAATATTTGACGAACGTATATTCCCACTTCATGTAAGTGGCACTTTTATTGAGGTTGTATTTTCATCATAGACTTGTATTTGTTTCATGCTGATGTCAAAGCCATCTTTAAATCCTCCCCATTTCATGTTGCATTTAGTCCCCTTAGGTGTTGTAAAAAGAATGTATTAGAATAAGAACTGATCTGCAGCTCTGTTTAGTGAACTAGTATGAGTAAATCTACTATCGAAATAACAGAAAATGTATCTTTTAAAAGACAGTTATTAGTAGCATCAAGCAATATGAGTATATGTAAATACTTTTAACACAGAAGCATGACTTTTATGAAGAGAGTTAAAAATAATTTAAGTTTAAATCAACCTACATGTTATAAAAATTTAAAAATGTACTTCCTCAAGTACATAATAGCCACATGTGGCTAGTGACTATTGTATTTAACAGCATAGGCTTAGAGCCTCATGGTTACAGGAAACTGTATTTTCTCAAAGTTTATTGCAGAAAATGACATACCATCAGTAAGACATTAAAGCCTAAGAGTAGCTTACATTTGGATAGAATTATGTGGGGCAAAGAGGAAAAAGGGCAAAAATTTTCTGAACTTTAGCTCATATGATTTTTAAGTGAACGTTGATGAGTATTAAATCATTATGGTATTTAAAGATCCCACTGTTCTTATTGTAAAAACTAAAAGACATCTCCCCAATCAAAATTATTGTAAATGATACATGTTGACGAATGTGAACACTGCTGTCTTAAGAGCACTTCAGGTTTTCTCTTCAAAGGATACTAACTTTGCATCCTTTCTTCTTTCAGCGAGGAGAGGTTCCGGAAGAATACTTTACGTATGATCCTACACACAAAATCATTTTCAAATTTATGCGTACTCTGTGCAATGCCAAAAAGGTAGAAGCTTACTTAGTAATCATAAGTTTGGTAAGATATTTTCTATTTATAAAGCATCTTTAGAAATTGGTCTTGTAAAGTGGCCTGGCCAATGTGGTTAAACCCTGTCTCTACCAAAAATACAAAAATTAGCCAGGTATGGTGGCACACCCCTGTAGTCCCAGCCACTTGGGAGACTGAGGCAGGAGAAGTGCTTGAACTCAGGAGGCAGAGTGCAGTGACCTGAGATCAAGGCAGTGTACTTCAGCCTAGGCAAGAGAGCAGGGCTCTATTTCCAAAAAAAAAAAAAAGAAAGAAATTGATTTTGTAAACTGGGTAGTATGTTCCTGATTTTAAATGAAAGTAGGTTTCTGAAATTATCTCAGAACTTTAAGAGAAACTTATGAAAGCAAATACACACATTTGAGTTAAATCATCATTGTGGCTTAAATGTTGCCTTGCGTTTCTCATTACAGAACAATTATTCTTAAAGGCAGCAGGAGGGATTTCTGGTTTCTCTCCCCACACTTCAGTGCACACATGCGCACGCAGTATGCACACATCCAGAGCATGTGGATGGCTTGGAATGAAGAGCAGTAACAAGACCACCTGGTTCATGGGCAGGAGTGTGTGCCATTGCAGGTCTAAACTGAGTCCCAGGGTGTATCCCCAGGCAGTTCTCATGTATGTTGTGATTGAGAGCTACTGCCCTCCATTCATTCTTCCTTGGATGTGTTAATCTACCCCCACTGGGCAGAGTAGGTAGCAGAAATATTTGGGCTATGATTGTGATATGGCCCCTTACTTAACCTGATGAAACAAAGTCTCTGTAGAACATAAGAATAAAAGGCATCTACTTTCTGGTCAAAACCAGAAGTATTCTGGTTTTTCATAAGAATTCTTATCAGAGCACTCTAACTGAGCTAAATCAAAGGCCAGTGCTCTGTTTTCCAGGTATACATAAAAAGACTTCTAGAGTGTGCTAATATCAACCTTTGTCCATCCAACTGGAAGAGGATTGTCTTCGGAGCCATTCTTCTTGTCGTCAAGTTTGGGAGTGATGTGGCTGTGTGCAATAAGCACTTATGCAAGGTCTTTGAGAAAATGACAGTTGACAATATGTGAGTTTGTACGGTTTTCGTGAACTTTCTAACCATTGTTGAATACTTTATTTGCTCCCATAAACATAAACACTTTGAGAAATACTTTTAAAGGTTACATTATGCAGATAATAAGAATGGGCATAAATACCATAAACTCTTTCTCCCCAGCTTTAGAAGAACAATTCATATTTTTCACTATTCATTGTTAGGTCTTGGTAAATTGCCATTGTAATAATCTCATAAATGGAAAAGTATTTTTCTGGTGAATGTTTTTGGCAAATATCTTAACCGTGTACAATGAGAAACAATAGTACAGTCAGTTTCCTTATGGCTTTTACAAGCTGTCTGCAAGTTCTAGTCCCTTTGTGAGGAGCGCATATCTGGCCTTTGAAATAATTGTTTGCCCATTGACAGGTCTGGGGCCTCTGCATTGTGAAGTATAGCTTCACCCTGAGCCATACATTCTGTATTTGCATTTGCTGGTGTTCTCCCGCTTTTCTCTGAAGATCCGTTTTATAGAAACCTTGAGATACAGAATAGCCACAGTTCCCTGTGCCCCTGTCCTCTCCCCATTAGGAGTGTTGCATCACTGGGCTGATGAGTTAGAAGTTCCAGTGTTCCCCTCAGGCAGTCTGATAAACATTGTTGGGCATCACCCCATGCTCACCACACTCAGTAGATTCCCGGGGCATTAATGCAACCACGGCAACACTTGGGGGGCCCCAAGGTATCTATGAGAATGCAAGAAATCTTGCTGAATCATGGGGTTGCTCATAGACAGCAACATGACACTGAAACAGGAGCTTCATGTGTCTTTCTTTCAGTCTGGCCTCATGACTGCTGTAAAGGGAAGGATCTTGAAGCTAGTTTGTAGGGTGAGCCAGGGAGGCATTTCCAGCACAGGTTCTCACAGTGTCCATTAGACAGCAAGAATGGCTCTGTGAGTGACACTTGGAAAATCTGAAGGAACACCTCTTGATGACATAGAAGCATATGAAGCATATGAAGATGAAGATCCTCAGGCAGTGGAAAGAGGTTTTTGTTTTGTTTTGTTGGTTTCTTTGTTTTTACATTTGCCTATTTCTCCAGATAAGACTGTGATTCAGGATGTATGCAGCCTCAAATAGAAGTCTCTGCCAATTGTGCTCCCCACAGGAATAACAACTTTAGCAACTATCTAAATAAAAAAGCACCTCCATAAGAACTGAAAATTATTTGAATGTTCATATGACGTGGTTTTAATGTCATATCAGTGAAAGAGGCACTGAACAGCATAGAAAAGACAGTCTTGAATTGTTGATGCCACCACTGTGAACCTGTGGCAAGGAGAGAGGCTACGTGCTTGGGGAAGGGAGAGCACAGCAGCTGTGGGACTTTGCCTGAACTCAGTGCAGCCTCGTCATAGCAGAACGCAAAACAAAGCTGAATCCACCCAAAGCCCACCCACAGAAAAAACATTTAGACTAGCCCCAACCATAGGGAAATTATTCATCCCCATGGTTGGAACTTGAGTGGTGAAAGCCTGGCTGCCATGGGATAAAATAGTCTGGAGTCCTTAATCAACCTGAAAGTCTGTCTAGGTCACAAGGACTGCAACTCCTACTGCCATCTGGACAGACCTAGTGCTGTCCCAGAGGTCATGGCCACAGCGGTGCTTGTATCACTCCTCTCCTAGCTTCAGGCAGTTTAGCACAGAGAGACAGACTTCATTTGTGGGAAAGTAAGTAAAGAAGTGAGTCTCTGTCCATTAATCTAGAGAATTCCTTCAGGACTGATCTCAGACCACCAGTGTGGAACCTCCACAATTCTGCAAAAAGCAATGACATTCTTCACAGAAATAAGAATAAAAAAAGAATCCTAAAATATATAGGCTCAGAATATCCAAAGCTAACCTGAGCCAAAACAAAGCTGGGGGAATTACATTATCTAATTTCAAGTTACCCTCTACACCTGTAGTAACCAGAACAGCATGGCACTGTGATTAAAAACAGACACATAACCCAATGGAACAGAACAGAAACCCAGAAACCAATTCATACATCTGCAGTGAACTCATTCTCTATGAAGGTGCGAAGCACATGCAATGGGGTAATGACAGTCTCGTCATTAAGAGATGCTGGGGAAACTGGATATCCACATGCAGAAGAATGAAACCAGGCCTCTATTTCTTACCTTATACAATCATCAAACCAAAATGGATTAAAGATGTAAGTCTAAGCTGGGCATGGTGGCTCACACTTGTAATCCCAGCGCTTTGGGAGGCCAAGATGGGAGAATGGCTTAAGCTCAGGAGTTCGAGACTCTCTGGGCAATGCAGTATCTCTGTCTTTTAAAAAACTAAAAATAGATCTAAATCTAAGACCTCAAATACGAAACTAAAATAAAACAGTGGGAAAACTCTCCACGATATTGGACTGGGCAAATATTTCTTGCATAATGTTTTATATGCACAGGAAACCAAAGCGAAAATGGGCAAGTTAGGTCACATCAAGTTAAAAAGCTTCTGCACAACAAAGGAAACAGTGAGCAAAGTGAAGTGACAACCCACAGAATGGGGGAAGGTATTTGAAAACGATCTGACAAGGGATTAATTACCAGAATACTAAGGAGCTCAAATAACTCCATAGAAATAAAAATAACAATCTGATTTTTAAAATGGGCAAAATATCTGAATAGACTTTTCTGAAAAGAGGACACATTAGGCAGGCTTGGTGGCATGTGCCTGTAATTTCATAGATGTGAAAATTACCTGAGCCTGGGAGGCCAAGGCTGCAGTGAGCTGTGATTCTGCCACTGCATTCCAAACTGATTGACAATGTGAGACCGGTTTGAAAACTCCTTAAGAAAGGCATACCAATGGCAAACAGGTATATGAAAAGATACTCAACATCAATATCGTTGATGTTCAGAGAAATGCAAATCAAAATTATAACGAGAGATCATCTCACCGCACTTAAAATGGCTCTTGTTTTAAAAACAGGCAATAACAAATGCTGACAAGGTTATAGAGCAAAGGTAACCCTTGTACACTGTCAGTGGGAATGTAATTTAAATACAGCTACTACGGAGAACAGTTTGGAGGTCCTCAGAACTAAAAATGGAGCCACCATATGATCCAGGAATCTCACTGCTGGGTATAAACCTAAAAGGAAGGAAATCAGCATATCAGAGAGATACCTGCCTCTCATGTATGTTGCAGCACTATTCACAGCAGCCAAGATTTGGAAGCATTCTGAGTATTCATCAACAGATGAGTGGCTAAAGAAAATGGTTCATATACACAACGGAGCACTATTCAACCATAAAGGAGAATGAGATCCTGTTATCTGCAACAACATGGATGGAAATGTTAAGTGAAATAAGCCAGACACAAAAAGACAAAATTCACCTATTCTCACTGATTTGTGGGAACTAAAAATTAAAACAGTTTAACTCATGAAGATATAGAGTAGGAGAATTGTTTGCAGCTGCTGGTAGAAGTAGTATGGAGGATGAGAGGAGTAAGGGGTGATGGTTAATAGGTGCACACATTTGTTCAGAAAGAATAAATAACATCTCGTATTTGATAGCACAACAGGGTGAGAACAGTCAAGAATTATTTAATTGTATATTTTACAGTAACTAAAAGTGTAATTGAATTATTTGTAAAAAAAAAAAATGAAAAAGATACATGCTTGAGGTGCGACTGATTTTCCATTTACTCATTATAGGTCTGTATCAAATAATTTTATATACCCCATAAAATGTGCACCTACAATGTACCCCCCAAAAATTTTAAAGACTTTTATTCAGAATTAACACAGTGTATATTTACAACTGAAATGAGGCTTCTTGTAACCAAAAAGAGAATAGTGATGGTTGGTTGCTATTCAAATGGCCAAGTTACGACTTTACTAATAGTATAAACTGAGTTGTCATGGTGATATTGCTAATAGCCATTTTAGTAAAGGATTTAACAGAAAATGAACGTCATTTGAAAGTTGCAGGAGCTAAAGTTCTGTTAATCACTACTGTCATCAATCTGTAAACTGGTTTCTTTGTGTGTGTGTGTGTGTGTGTGTGTGTGTGTGTGTGTGTGAGAGAGAGAGAGAGAGAGAGAGAGAGAGAGAGAGAGAGAGAGAGAGAAAGAGAGAGATGGAGTTTTGCTTTTGCTGCCTAGGCAACAATGTGCAATGGTGTGATCTTGGCTCACCACAGCCTCCGCCTCTTGGGTTCAAGCAGTTCTCCTGCCTCAGCCTCCTGAGTAGCTGGGATTACAGGCATGTGCCACCACACCCAGTTAATTTTCTATTTTTAGTAGAGATGGGGTGTTTCATAATATTCAGGAGCCTGGAGAGACCAATGGGTGAAACAGGAGGATTTTATTAAGGTGGCCACCAGCTCGGCAGATTTGCATCCCAAGGCTGAGAGCCTAACAAAGACAGGGCTTGATTTGTTATACAGCCAGGATGACATAGCAACTAACAGGTTTACAGAAGCCAGAGGAAAGAACAGTTAACTTGTGACATGTCTTGTGATGTATGTTATGTTTGAAAATCGCATTTTGAGAAACACATTGCACATTCTTTGGGTGTTATATTATCTTGTGACCTTGCAGCTAGTCTGCAAGAAAAATGGGAGGCTTGATATGCCTGGGAACTTTGCTGAGAAAGTAGGAAGAGTAGGTAAGGTAGATTTTATAGGGAGTTAGTTAATTTCAAGCAGAGCTGGAGGTTAGGTTTTATATTGAACACAACAGTAAATTTTTATTATGTAGCAATTACAGACTACTATTGTTACTATTTAATTTCCCTCTTCAGGGGCTTCTTCATGTTGTTTCTCCATGGATCATGCTGGTCTCGAACTCCTGACCTCAGATGATCCACCCATCTAAGCCTCCCAAAGTGCTGGGATTACAGGCCTGAGCCACTGTGTCCAGCTTGTAAACTGGTTTCTGGAAGGGTGCAAAATTTGTAATGCTGAACACTTAGCTCCACTATAGTGGCAGTTAAATTGATCTCAAGACCTGCAGCTAATCTGGTGGGGCTCTAGCTCTAGTTCCAAGGTCAGAGAATACACAGAGAAATGTGCAGGTGTCCACAGATATGAGCTCCAGAGGCAGTGATGACAGAGGCCAGCCCCAAGATGACCAGTTCTACATAGTGCCGTTTGTGAACGCAGAAGCATCAGGAGCTATGCTCTGAGGAGGAGCTATGCTCACGATCTTTGGAGATTGAAAAACATTACAACACAGTATTTAATGGACATTTATCTTGTTCCTCTGCTGTTTATTATTTATAATGGTCTCTTTTTGACAGTAAAATGAACCTTTTAATAATTACTGTCTATCAGATTTTTCTTCAAACTTTTCAACATCGGTTAGTCTTGTTACGTTGTATTTTTCTTCAGAAACATCACTAATTATCAGGGAAACGCAAATTAAAACCACAATGTAATACCACCTTACTCCTGCAAGAATGGGCCATAATTAAAAAATCAAAAAATCATCTATGCTGGTATGGATTTGGTCAAAAGGGAACACTTACACTGCTGATGGGAATGTAAACTAGTACAACCACTATGGAAAACAGTACTGCCATTCAATCCAACAATCTCACACTGGGTGTCTACCCAAAGGAAAAGGAGTCATATGAGAAAGACAAATGCACCTGCATGTTGATAGCAGCACAGTTTGCAATTGTAAAAATGTGGAGCCAGCCTCAATGCCCATCAATTAATGGGTAAAGAAAATGTGGAATATATATACCATGGAATACTGCTGAGCCATAAAACAGAATCAAATAATGGCCTTTACAGCAACCTGGATGGAGCTGGAGGTCGTTATTCTAAGTGAAGTGACTCAGGAATGGAAAACCAAATATCATGTATTCTTCATGAGAATCCAAAGTCATAAAATGATACAGTGGCCTTTGGGGAATAGGGGGGGAAGGTTGGGAGGGGGATGATGGATAAAAGATTACATATTGGGTACACTGCTCAAGTGGTAGGTGAACCAGAAGCTCTGATGTCACTCCTAAAGAAATTATGCATGTAACCAGAACCTCCTGTTTCTCAAAAATGATTGAAATAAAATTTAAAAACATTATTGGTAAACAACTTATATTTATACACATATACACACACACATATACACGTAAGTTAAACTGAACAGCTTCTAGTCTGAAAATTAGCTGTGCTTGTAAAGGGTATGCTATTCAGCCATTTGAAAAACAACAAAAACTAAGGAGATACATATCCTGTAGTGATAATTGTTTTCCTCAATAATTACTATTAATAAACATGATCATTCTATGAAATGCCATATTTTACACAGTTAAAATATGTTTATGGAAATACAGAAAAGAGATTATGAAGTGCATATATTCCTATAGTAAATTAAGTCCTGGTCAGCTGATTATTCACATATCTGATTGACATTCCCATCATAGCCTTGTGGTTATATGAATAGGAAATTAATGTTGGAAGTAGTTTCAGTTGGATTTTCAGTGAAACCAATGAGAAAACCACATATCTGCTTACATCCTAACTGCTTTCCATACCGGAGAACTTCAAGCATTTGTTGACTTAGCCAGTGGATAAAACATTGAAACTTTAAAAGCAAGAAACCAAATGTGCTGTTGAGGTATTGATTTCATACAATTAAGTCTTTACAGTGATTACTATGAGAGTGGTAAGATTACTCTAGTTTTTTATTTATTTAAACATTTGACCAAGTGCTGGATACAGTGGCTCATGTCTGTAATACCAGCACTTTGGGAGGCCAAGGTGGGAGTATCCACTTGATCACAGGAGTTTAACACCAGACTGGGCAAAAAGTGAGACCCTGTCTCTGCAAAAATAATTTTTAAAAATCTCCCAGCTGAGTGGCATGAGCCTGTAGTTCCAAGCCTTGAAAGGCTTAGGCGCATGGGTTACTTGAGCGTGGGAGGTTGAGTCTGGCGTGAGCTAGGATCATGCCACTGCACTTTAGCCGGTGTGACCCTGTCTCAAAAAAAACAAAAACAAAATCTTTGACCAGGACAGGTGAATAATCGTGCAGCAGAGGGCTGCTTCCAGCCTGTTCCCCTCTCAGTGCATTCAACTTATCCCCACATTCTGTTGTGGCCAGGGGTGACAGATGCTGAGCAACTTCGGGTTTCATTTCTAACTCAACTCAGGAGAAACAGTGTGTAAGGCCGGCACCCTACCAGAAGGCATCTCATAAAATGAGCTTAGTTTAGCCAAGATGTCTGTCTCTGATCTTTCTACCATTGGAGGTGTAAAGAGTATTTGTGCCCCGTAATAGTGACAGCTAATAAATGGCATTCATCATTTCTGTCATCTGATCACTATTGTGGTATCTTGGAAGTAAGCATGAAGTCTGAGTTGTGCAATGGAATGCTCAAGAATGAGCCCTGAGTCAGCTGCACAAGTACAGAGGAGGCCATCGCCTTTCTCCTCATCCCAAACTTGGGGTGCTGGATTCAGAATGGACTGCAAGCAGCCATGTCCTGTTTGGACATTAGCATAGGAACCCACCTGCATGTGTTTCAAAACAGAATTTGGAGCCATTCTAGTAGCTCAGTGTGATATTTTTAAATAACTAGAGAAAAGTCTTTTTAACTGACTTAACAAAAACAACTGCCTATTAAATGCATATAGTATTGTCTAAAAATTATCTGCAAAATTGTAACCTCAATGTTTTCTTGCAAAAGAAGTGAAAGTAATATAGAGACATTTTCAAATGAAGAATCCCTGAGAAACAAAATAGAAGTAGGATAACATTTACTTATGTATCTTTTTGAAGATTATACAAGAAAGAATTTGCATCAGGCTTTTCAATTTATGAACATTAGTAGGGTTTCCCTCTAGGGAAATTTTCACATCAATGTTGAAGAAATTCTTAAAACCGTAAACTTTTCTGTATTTGGTAATCTACCCGGGTTCCAATCCAATGTGCTTTCTTATAAGGTCTATCTCCAGTGTGTATTATCGTGGGTCTTATCTTCATGTGGAAATGGAACAACTGAAGACATTACCACATGTTTCTATTTATAAGGAATTTCCCTTTGAATCCTTTCATGTTTTCAAAGAAATAAAAAAGCTGAAGGCTTTACCATGTTTCCTAAGATTATGTCATTTTTCTCCATATTAAATGTGAATATGTCTTCGAAAGCATAGGGGAAAATAAAGTTTATTAACACATTTTTTACATTCATGTTTCGTTTCTGGTACAAGTTTTTTTCTGAGTTTTCAAAGAGAACTGGGAAAGTTGCATGCTTCCTTATATTTCTTCACTAGATCAGGTTCTGTCCAGTGTGAGTTATTTCATTGAATTCTAATAAACTAGAGCACATGTTAGCTTTACCACATTTCTTACATAAGAATAATGTTTTTGAAGATAACCCAGTGAACTAACATGGTCCTGTGTTGGTTTTGTTGTGTTTCTCCTTCCCCAGGAATGAGTTGCAAAGGTGGTACTTGGAGCTAATTAATTATAATATCCATGTTGCTCGAAGCACTTATACCAGGTACTACTTCTCTCTTCGTGACTTGGCGTTCAGGCATGGCCTGCGTTTGTCATCTTCCCTTCTTGACAGAGAAAGAGCATGGGATCTGAAGGTAGGGCTATGAAGTCACTAAGTGGGTTTTCAGTCAAACACCAGTGCCTAAATTTATGACTAGGTCATATGAAGTAGTGATTAGAAAAATGGAAAGCTTCAAAATTAACATACTGAAGAGCTTATTAAGCTTTTGGCATTCTATTTCCTGTATCTCTTATGGTTTTTATAAGAATTCATGTTTTTTGAAAATTGTAGATATTATCTCTTTTGTGGCCATAATTCAGAATCTTTTAATCAAATTAAATTCATTCTTAATGAATTTGAACGTTTTGAACCTTTGCCCTTGCAAATAATCATACAGAAATGATTTCTTGCCATTGTATTTCTAATGATGTCTACATACATAATGCACTTACCACTCTTGACTACTTTTTATTACTCAGTTTGCAAATTTCTGTCATTTTCTACTGTGTATACCACAGTGCAGTCAGTCCCATGGGTGTGTTAGACAAACCATTAGTGCCTAAGCCAAGAGACATGCACTTAGACAGTATGAGGTGTGTGTGTCTCAAGTACTGTCTGCAGGAAGTACCTGGGATTTTACTGGAAATGATAACTTTTATGGGACAAGGAAATATTTATGGTTTGTGACTTTTGGTAAGTACACAGCAAAATTACTCACAGCTGACAAGGATGAACATTTAAAATAGGCATGTTCTGTGGCATCATGGAAGTATTTTAAAATAATACAATTTTCTACCATAAGCATAAAAGTAGTGCCTTTGGATGCTTAATCATTAGACTTTGTTGACATTTCAATACAATCCAGCACATGCCTGCCTGGTTATGATTTTCTTTCGGTATATAATAGCTCTATAGATTGGGTAGAATGTGAATAGATTAATAAACTACCTTTTTGCAGAAGTGTGCTTTTGTTATTTTTAAGGCACAAGTGCACAGGTAACAGATGATAGAGTTAGAAGCTTGTCACAATACGGTGACATTTTTGGGAGCCCAGTTTTTTTTGTTGTTTTTTTTTTTTTTTTTGAGACGGAGTTTCGCTCTTGTTACCCAGGCTGGAGTGCAATGGCGCGATCTCCGCTCACTGCAGCCTCCACCTCCCGGGTTCAGGCAATTCTCCTGCCTCAGCCTCCTGAGTAGCTGGGATTACAGGCACGTGCCACCATGGCCAGCTGATTTTTTTGCATTTTTAGTAGAGACGGGGTTTCACTGTGTTGACCAGGATGGTCTCGATCTCTTGACCTCGTGATCCACCCGCCTCGGCCTCCCAAAGTGCTGGGATTACAAGCGTGAGCCACCGCGCCCGGCTGAGTTTTTAAGTAACTTAATAAAGCAAGCTGCCCTTTGCTCCAGCAATCTAATTCTAGCCCTGAAAGGAGATGACCTAAGTAAGCTGCTAGAAGTTGGCAGTGTAAACCTCAGCCAAAGTAGCTGTAGCTGAACTATCTAAAGGAGTCTGCATGTGTGGCTTCTCATCAGTGGTGATTGTTAAAAGGGTGGAACCCTTTTTAAAATTGTACCTCTTTTCTATTTGACATTCTTAGGCTTTATCAAGGATGGATCAAGAAGAAATGTTCTATACTCTTCGCAAGGCCGGGACTTCGAGTGCTGATGACTTAATTCATCTTCAGCACGCTAAGGCCGTCCTCTCCTGAAGGAAGAAATGAGGGGTAATGTAACATCTGAACCCCTCACCAAAAAAGACAGGAAAATACCACCTCTCCTGCTAAATAACTAGAAAAGTTTGTATTTTCAAAAGAAGAAATACCTCATTTCAAGTTAACTCAAGGACAACTGAGATTGCACTTTATAGTAAAGAATGGGACCTTGTCAGGGCAACAGCACAGTCTTACACTCTTGTGTCCCTTTGAATGTAAACAGAGTTATAGAAACCACTCCAATGTGAAGGCTCCCTCTGCCCACTCACAGATACTTGCATAGTGTGTTGGCTGATAGCTGTGAGCTGTGTCAGGCTTTTTTTGTTTTGTTTTCAGATGAGTCTCTGTTACCAGGCTAGGGGGCAGTGGTGTGATCTCCACTCAATGCAATTCCACCTTTTGGATCCAAGCCATTCTCCTGCCTCAGCCTCCCTCCTTAATTCAATGTTTTAAGTAGCTGGGATTACAGGGGCACCCAGCCTATGTAAGGCTTTTAAAACAATGGTTTAAAGTTTTTAGACTTTAAAAGATAACTTTTTTGTTTTTTTAAAATATTTTTTCTTTTCCCCCAAATTGCAGTATTAGTATTAAAACATGTCAGAGGAGTTCATGAATAGCACAGTCTTTTCTTCCTGAGGGTCCTCCCCTTCAGGTGTCCCAGCCTGCTCGCAGCAGCCATAGATGGGGCCTTTGTATTGAGAGAAGCTACAGAGCGCTGGAAAGCTGAGAATGCACAGGAAGGCATGGTCAGAGTTGAGAATAGGAGGGAGGTTGTGATGTCCTCTGTGAGGGAATAATTGTTATTGTGCTGAGGCTGTTTCTAGATATTGTCAAGTAAATTCAGATGTAGGTAAGACATGACTTGATTCTAAAGGAGTATTGCAATGGGGAAAGCTCCAAGCATCAGATCTGCAAGCATCTCACAAGAGGCAGAAAAGGGCTGTGTTTTTTATGGAGGATCAAACAAGATTAGAAGGAAGGTGGGAGGAAGAGTGGAGGATAGCAAAATCAGATTCAAGCTTAGGGAATGTTTCAGCCAAAATCAGCCTGTTCTTAGGAGGGGCATAAATGGGGTTTGTATGTTGACTCAGACTGAAGACAGAGCAGAGTCTGGGAGCTAGGGAAAGGACAGAAACTTAAGCAAAGTTGTGATGGAATTCCTGAAACCCAGGAGGCAAAGGTTGCAGTGAGCCGAGATTGCACCGGTGCACTCCAGAGTGACCGAGTGAGACTCTGTCTCATAAGTAAATAAATAAATGTTTTAAATAAAGTCTTGTTTTAACCAATTATTGTTTGTATTTGTGTAATTTTGTTAATATAAAAGACCCACCCCTGGAAAGACTATTAGGATTTTCTTCTTACTCATATCCAACTAAATTATACCACTCTGTTTTCTAAAAAAAAAAAAAACAACAACAAAATTTCCATTAACTAATCTTCTTATCAGTTTACATAGATGATTCACAACATGCTTAAACTTTCTGTTTTGCCTAAATATTCCCTTTTTTGAAAAACCCGGTCATTTTATTTTAGGACAAAAAATTTACCACACAAGATTGCTTCTTATATAAAATTGCTTTTTTTCACCTTTATCAAAAATACCTCTTTATATCTTTAACTTTCTTCTCTTATTTCCTGGTTCCTATTACCTCATTTTATGCATAACTTTATAAAAGCTTTGAATTAGACAAAGATATTGACCTCCTAATAAGAACATTTTAAAAGTGTTTTCTACATTTTTTGAGTTGGAAATTACCCAGCTACTTAATATCTGTTAATAACCTTAGATATCAAATCATATGACAAGTCTGTTTACAACCATTTATTCCATTACATTTACAAGATTATTTAATATTTTATCTAGATGATGAAAACTGTCATAGTCATTATTTAAAGTAAATTCCCTGTTAACCATTTTTATAGCTGTGAATTTCAGGTGTTGAAGTAATTTTCTTTTATTTTTTTTGTTTGTTTGTTTGTTTGAGACAGTTTTGCTTTTATTGCCCAGGCTGTAGTGCAGTGGTACAATCTGGGCTCGCTGCCACCTTCACCACCTGGATTTGAGTGATTCTCTTGCCTCAGCCTCCCAAGTAGCTGGGACTACAGGTGCCCACCACCACACAGGCTAATTTTTTTTTGTATTTTTAGTAGAGACAGGGTTTCACCATGTTGGCCAGGCTGGTCTTGAACTTCTGCCATCAGGTGATTGGTGCCCCCCCACCCCCGGCCTCCTGAAGTACTCCCAAATTAGAGGCATGAGCCATGGTGCCCAGCCTATTTAAGTAATTTTCTTAAGGTTAAATATAAGGGTATTTTACCAATAACTCAGAATGTAGATGTTTTCATTAAACCAAATTATTCCATTTCTTTTTTATCAAAAATTACACAAGCAAAGATCATTCTGTCTTGGGAGGGGTTGTATAGTTTTATAACCCTTATAACAAATCTTCATTGTATTCTGCAGAAATAAGCACGAAATCACATGATCAACAAATGCAAACAACAATGCTGGAAATTTTCACAGCATTTCTAATACTTTCTCAATAATTTGAGAGCCAGCTTATTTCTAAAAGATTTTACTTAAGTCACATAAATGTGAAAAAGCATTTGACTAGTCTTTTTATTGATAAAATGGTTGACTTACATACTTGTATTTTTCTTTAAGCCAATGAACTAGAGCTCTCTATAGTAGAGAAATATTGTGCACACAACACATAAATACATAAATCTATTTGGCATGCTGTCAGAAATACGACTTACAGATTCATGAGACATCTTTTCTTTCTCTGTCATAGACTTTTAAATTTTTTCATATTTTTTTATCTAAATAGTTTTTGGGGTAACAGGTATTTGGTTATGCCACAACAAAATCACCACCACAAAAAAAAAAGAAGCTCTTTACATTTTATTTCAAAATGAATAATTGAAATAATTTTAATGTTTTTATTTCTAACACTTGGTACTAGTGCTGACTTGTTTTTGAAGAAAGATTGATTGAGCATTTAATATTATTTGTAACATATGTAGAAAACGGTTTCTGCTTTCTTCTTCTTCAGTGGTGATTTTTGAGATTTTGGTGTATTCATCACCTGAACAGTGTGCACTACGCAATGTGTAGCGTTTTATCCCTTACCCACCTCCTGCCCTTTCCCCCAAGGCCCCAGAATCCATTGTATCATTCTTATGCCTTTGCACCCTCATGGCTTAGTTCCCACTTATGAGTGAGAACCTAAGATGTTTGGTTTTCTATTCCTCAGTTACTTCACTTAGAATAATGGTCTCCAGTTTCATCCATTATATTGTTCCTCTTCATGGGTGAGTAGTATCCATGGCATAAATGACGTCTAGGGAACTCCAAGGCTACGGAGAGTAGGTGGACATGGGTGAGAGACATGGGTGAGAGTGGATAATTGCTATTTTCTAGGCCCTCCCTGCTTCATGAGTGCAAGCTGCTTTGGCAGCTCTGGGTGGCACCTGCCAAGGTTGCTGGGACTCAGGGATGCAAGGACAGAAGAGGGAAAGAGGACACCCGCCTCTTCCTCACATACCCAGGATATATCTGCTAGGAAGAGAAGGAAATCAGGTGTGCCTGCTCCCCTGTTTTTAGATGGGTAGCCATCCATCTTCCATCTGTACCCCTTTGAAATCCGTCCTGAACCCCTGGGACTCCTTTGAAAAAAACATCTTTTTCTTTCTCCTCTTCTGTCCTGTCTTCACAGAGAGGTAATTCTGTCTCTATACTATGGGACACTTTCCTCAGATGTATTCTCCAAACTGAGATAAAAGTTTTCAAACCTTAAACTGGTTGGCTTAGGATTGGGCTCAGGGGAAGGGAGCCCAGAAACACAACATGCTGGCCAAAGGGCCAAGTTTCTTTTTACCAGTGGGGTTTTTGACCTCCCTCTCCTGTGCAAACTGGTAAAAGGCCTTGGGACTTTTGAGCTCTCCTTACCCCTCCCCTTATTTTGATTCACTTTGATTTGTTTTGTTTTGTTTGAGAAAGAGTTTCTCTCTTGTGGCCCAAGCTGGAGTGCAATGGTGAGATCTTGGCTCACCAACCTCCACTTCCCGGGTTCAAGAGATTCTCTTGCCTCAGGCTCCCTAGTAGCTGGGATTACAGGCACCTGCCACCATGCCTATGTAGTGTTTTGTATATTCTGTATTTTTAGTAGAGACAGGGTTTCACTCTGTTGGCCAGGCTGGTCTCAAACTCCTGACCTCAGGCAACCCACCTGCCTCAGCCTCCAAAAAGTGCTGGGATTACAGGCGTGAGCCACCGCACCCAGCTCATTTTGTTTTGCTACATGTTTTCTAATAATCTGGTGCATGTTGTCTCAACTTCAGCCATCAAAGCTTGAATGGTGAAGCAGCTGGAGCCTCGGACAATGACCCCTTCTGCCAGGGATCCTTAGATAGGCCTCTGAGGGGACTCTGAGTGCTGTTTTCCCAAAACTGGCACTGATAGTAGGAAGCAGCATCCTTATTCTAACAGCAGTTGGATGTACTTATTTAGAGAGAGGAATGAGGCGGCTGAGTATAAAGGGGTCATCAGAGAACCTCCAACAGCCTGCACACTGGGAGGAGTGAGCGCTGGAGTGGAGCCTCGGGAAGTTCGCACAGTTTGCAGTGTGGAGAGCCTGGCCTCTTCCCTTCCTGTGTGGAACCTGGAATTCAATCTGTGAAGCGGGAAGCCTACGCTAGCAGGACTCTCACTCTGCTGAGGGTCCCTGGTTCCTCTTTATCCTTTTTGCTTATAAATTTTATTTTTCTCACCCTTCAAAGTGTCTGTGAGCCTAATATTTCATGGCCATGTGACAAGGACCCCGTCTTTATTCTGGAATGTTTTACATTGGTCATTTATGCCTCATCATTCATCCATACCCGATGAAGAATCACCACGACAAAAAAGATAGTTCTTAAAATTTTATTTCAAAATGAATAATTGAAATAATTTTAATGATTTTTATAAATTTTATTTCAAAATGAATAATTGAAATAATTTTAATGATTTTTATTTCTAGCACTTGATACTAGTGCTGGCTTGTTATTGAAGAAATATTGATTGAGAATTTAATATGACTTATTACTTGGAACATATGTAAAAAGTGGCTCCTGTTTTCTTGTCTTTTATACTCTAAAGAAAACCTGTGTAAAACCCTTTAAAGAAACAAGGATTTTATTTGTTTCTCTCTATCTTATAAAAATAACTTGAAGCAGATCTGACATTCTTGAATAATTTCTAATTTGATTTTTGGCATGATTCTCCATAACTGTGAGAGAATAAAAATAAAAATAAACTAGTATATATTCTGGTCCGAAGAAAGTTGTCTTGACAACTTTTTTAAACATAGAAGTTTCGAGTTTCAT